CGCGCTCTCCTTTCTTTCTTCTGCTCTATCTCCCCCCCTCCTCTCTCTCTCTCCCTCACGAGCTCTCCTTTCTTTCCTTCTCTCTATCTTCCCCCCCCTCCCTCCCTCTCCTCTCTCTTCTCTTCTCTCCCCTCCCTCATCTCTCCCCTTCCCTCTCCTTTCCCCTTTCATCCGGTACCAAAAATAGCCTCCATTGAGCGTGCAGAAGCAACAGTTACAAGAGATACGACTCCACGTTTTTGCAAGAAACGAGAAGCGAACTTTGAGTCAATTGCTGTTGTTATCATTGTCGTTCTTTTCGTGATTGCAAATCGGTGGCGAGCAACAAATGGGGATTGAATAAGAGGAAAGGAGAAGGAGGAGAGGGAGAAGGAGAAGGAGAAGAAGGAGAAATGGGAATAATAGAAGAGGGGGATAATAGGAGATAATAGAAGAGGATGATACAATAGATTAGTGTGGTTTTAACTAGAGTAGTTGTAGTAGAAGAGGAAGAGAAGGCGGAGATAAAGAGATGAGGAGAGAGGACGAAGGAGAAATCAGGAGAAAAAGAATGAGAAGGAGGAAGGCGATGAGGAAGAGGAGGAAGACAAGAAGGAGGAGGAAGAGAGGGAAAGAAATGAAGGAGAAGACGATATCTGAAGAAAAAGGAAAGAAGGAAAAGAAAGAGAAGAAGAAGAAGAATGAAAGGAGAAGGGAAAAGAAAAAGATGAGGAGGAGGAGAAGAAGAAAAAGGAGTAGGAGGAAGAAAAGTAGAAGAATTAGAAGAAGAATAACTAGAAGAAGGAGAAGAAGTGAGAGGCGAGAGGAAGAGAGAAGAAGTAGAAGACTAAAGAAGAGAGGAGAAAAGTAAGAATAAAATAAGAAGAAAAGTGAAGAAAGAAGAAGAAAAAGAAGAGAAGCGAGAAAAGAGAAGAAGTAATTCAATAGTAATAATCGATAAGTAACAATAAGAAGAAAGTGGAAAGAGAAGAAGAAAAGAGGAGAAGAAACCGAAATAAGAAATGAGGGAAAGACGAATAAATTAGAAGAATTTAGACGAAGAAGCAAGAAGAAAAAGAAGAAAAAGAAAGAAGAAGAAAAAAAGAAGAAGAAAAAGAAGAAAAAACAAGAAGAAAAAGAAAGAAGAAAAAGAAAAAGAAAAAGAAAAAGAAAAAAGAAAAGAAAAAAGAAAAAGAAAAAGAAGAAGAGGTAGAATCCAAGAGAGAGAAGCGGGCTTTGTCTCACATATCCAGCTTAATCCTGTAAGCGGGTACAAGGAATATCCACCTCGTAGATTCATCGCCTTTTGAGGAAATTCGCGTATTTTCCTCTTCGTAAAATTTAGTTGTTTTTTGAATATCGATTTTTTGTTTTTTTCTTTGTCGTCTTCTTCGTCATCGTCGTCATCGTCATCATAATTGGTATCTTCGGTGTGATTATCATTATTATCATCATCGCTTTATTGGCTTTTCTTTTATCATCGTTTTGTTGTTGTTGTTGTTATCATTAACACCGTCACGTCATCATTATCATCATATTTTGTTCTTGGTCACATTCCTTTTACATAACCACTGACTAATGAAACAACAGGAACTCATCAATAAAAAACAACAACAACAACAACAAACAACAAAGCAATAACAACGACAA